ATGGCTGTGTTTCTGCCAAATTAGTGAACAGAATCTGTAAAAAGACAGTAGAATCTGGCAGGCCATAGAAGTGAACTGCAGGGGAGAAGCTGTGGATGAAAAAAGGGTAGGAGGAGTGAGGTGGGAAGAGGAAATAAGATCTCCTTTTGACAAGCTGACTCAGCTCTGTGATGTCATTTGACCCCAAAGCACAGTTTCACCCAATTCAGCCAACTACAGGCTGTTACCTTCTCATACCCTGAGGTGTTCCTGCCCCCTTTCTTGTGCCAGATCTACACAGATGCATGACTGCAAGTCATGTAAGCCCACTGATCACCCAGGAACTATTCATGAGCCCTCTGCGAGATCAGTGAGTTGAAGGAGCAGCAGCTTGTGGCAGAGGAAGGAGGGCAAGATTCTTCTCATCAGCAATGCAAATGCAAAGTAGTGTAACTCTGACAGGAAACAACACCCTAAATAACCACTGTTAAGGCAGGCCTTGGTAGAGTTGTGATGTAGGAATGAACTCTGATTTGAATGGGGACCAGAGATGACAACAGTCTTAACAAACACTGCACTTGAATTTGCTTTGAAATGCCTGCATTTGTAGCCCTTGATAAAAGCTGATCAACAGCAACAGTAGCTAGATTGCAAGCAAGCAAGATTGCTTTTCAAGAGTGAACCTTCAGCTTCAAGCAGCCTGAGTTCAGCAGCAAGGTAGCAGAAGCAGCACTGTTTCCTGCAGGCAGGTGAACAGGGAACTGAGGGCACTCCAGTGTGACCCCTCCAGTGGGAGGCAGTCCTACTGCTCCCAAAGCAGGTGAGCAGGGCAGTCTGATCACCACAGCAGACCCTATCAGTCATCCTGGGTTGATCTGTCCTGGCCTGAGGTCACTCCAGGAAATCCACCATCAGCTCAGCAGCAGGGGACAGGTCGGCAAGCTAGGGTGTAGCTCAGGAAGGGACTCGGTGTCCTGGTCCCTAGAGGATGAGGGTGGAGGCCCCAGATGAAACCCCAACACAGCAATTAAGGCTTATTTGTGCACCCGGGGCCTTGACAGTAAGCTGTGGAGTGAAAATACCATTTACCCAGTCTTTACTGATCTAAGGGCAGTACAATCATCACATTCTACCTATGTGGGGTTTATTTCAAGGATATTAGGAAAGCAAACAGTTAGCAATTGCTAAGAGATTATCAGACAGAACTCCAGGCAATGGTTCTAATGAAAAGTTTCAATCTAATTTAAACAAAAGTGTAAATCTAAATGTCTGCCTAACACATAACTTCTTTATCTTTCAATCTACCAAAAGAAAAATGCCAGGCTGAGACAGGGAAGGCAACTGTCTAAATGAAGATGCATGACTTCATTAACTATACTATTTGGGGTGAAAACAGAACTTTTGTTTTCCCTTGAACAAACTTTGATTTAAAAAAAAGAAAAAAACAAAAACAAAAAAAGGATTACTGAAACACTCTGCAGGCTTTTGACAAATTACATGTGTAGCGTTATGGAAACCTAGTTTTCCAGATCTACTTTTCCTTCTCTGTTTCTTCTCCCTGCTCCCCCTCGCATGCCCTTTAGAAACTTGTACATTTCTCCAGGTTGTTTTAATGATATTGCTATATGGTACTTTGAAAAAGGAATCTCTGAGCCATATTGCTCAAAATAAGAAGAGAATAAGAAAAATAAACACATTTTAGTGGCAACCTTGAACTGGGAGTAAGAGTCCTAAAGAGCTATTTGACCAATGGAAATGGAAAGCAGGACCATACTGGGCTGGTTCACCAGTGGCTCTTCTCAAAAAAGCCTTACAAGAGATACGCCAAAGGGAGGGTGAGCACACACTGCTGTGTAGGCTGTAGTCTAGAACTCAGCTGCAGTGGCAATAATTTCAGAATGCAAAATTCTAAAGTATTTTCCTTCCACAGTGGATACTGGAAGGTCATTGGGGGTGGGACAGCACCCAGAAATTGCCAGAACACCCAAAGGGTGGGGCTGGCTGAGATGACAAAGCTCCCTTGGCACTTAATTGTCTTGTTCCAGGTCTGATTCAGAGGATTAAGTTGCATTCTTTCGGAATTTTAGAATGCATAAAAGAACATTTTTCTCTATAGCTTCTACTGGAAGACGTCCCTTGTACAGATGCAGTTCAGAGAAGCAAACTATAAAGCTAAGATCCTTGAGTAGCCAGCATGAATGGCTTTCCCAGCACTCATATGGATGCTTAGGGATCTCAGCAGTAGTCCTTCGAAGAGGTAGTACGATTTAGAGGAACGACCTACATCTTTGTAGGTTGAGAACAGAAAACAATGTTTTTGTTCACTGCCCTTTGTGGAGCAAGTGGACTACAAAAGCCTCTTCCCAGAAGAAGCCAGAAAGGGAGGCATTGTGAAAAATGCAGTTTTCACAGGGTGTAGCAAGCCACTTGCTGAGCAATAAAAACAATTAAGATACAACAGCTTGCCATATGGACTTGCTGCAACCCTAGACAGAAGCGGGATTCTGTCTCTCGAACACTTGTAAGAACACTAAACACAGCATTAGCACTGAGTCAATCACACACTGCTGTTGTGCATCTAGCACATATGGGGCAAGGTTCACAGAGCAGAAGTTCCAGTGCTTTCAAGAAATTGTGGCCTCTTAATCACACTGAGCCTACAACATTCTTGGCTCATAGTTCCCTTCACTTAGATCAGTCCTTCAGTGGTCAGGATTTCAGAAGAAGGGTAAAAGAAAACAAATAAACAAACAAAGGAGAAGGCAGAAACAAGGAAAAAGAAGTAAGCAGTGCGTAAAAGAAGAATTTTGTTATAATTACTTAGAAGATAGGGCCCACTGAAGATGATTCTTTGATACTAGTTAATGCAGAAGTCATGGAGTCTTCCTCTCACTACCAACACTTCTCTATCTTTTGTCTGGTTTTTTTTTGTTTGTTTGTTTGTTTGTTTTTTGGTTAAAATTCATAAGGAATTGATGTCTTTAACCCCTCCTGCTACATCTTGACATTTGTTTGTTGCTGGCAAATGCTTACAGGGGTTACTGGCAGAGGACAGAAGAGTGATATGGGACCATTTGCTCCCTTAGCTATCTATCATATTATGTGAAATTTACACAACATGGAAAGAAGGTTACAAACAACAGAAACCTATGCATTCTGCATACTTGCTAATTCAAAATGAAGACTCCTAGTTATTACTGGGTGTCATAGCAACATGATTACAAATATGTGCAGTTATTCATGAAGCTGCAAGATTATATGAATGCTAATGCTCTCTTTTCACTAACCTGTCCTTGATTTTCTCTCCTGACTCCCTAAGCAAAGTTTGCTAAATCCCATTCATCAAAAGCAATTAAATGCTCTAACCCATTTTCTGGAGGTTTTCAAGAAAAGGGTAGATGTCATACTGAGTGACGTGGGTTAGAGGGCATGATGGAGACGGATTGATGGTTGGACTAGATGATCTTAGTTGTCTTTTGCAATCTTAGTGATTCTATGATTCTATGCTGCTCAGTGGTAAGCATTTAGTTATATACAGATCAGCCATACATAGTATCCACCACCTAATTGTGTTAATTCATTTACACCAAAACCATTCTTCCCCCAAGTGACAAAACAAACAAACGAGCAAACAAACAAAAATCAAAACCAACATCAGTAAGGTACTGTGTATACAAAAGCATATAGTTGGTCCTGTTTAGCATTAACAAGTTGTAATAATGAAGTAAAAAGGAAAATCCATTATTACAGAATAGGTGTAGGTCTAACTAGTATGACTAGGTTTTGCTGAAGGACCAGCTAAGCACAGTGATTTCACAAGCTCAATAATGAATGCAAATGAACTCATCCTTCACCGAGGCAAGATGAGAGAATGTTATTGATGAACCCTTTATGATCCAATTCTGCAAATGTTGTTTGATGCATTTTTCTTGCCACATGTCAATACATTGACTTAATCGACTTCCACATTATGAATGTTACATCCATAATGTTAGGAGAACAATTTAGTGCTTAAAGGGCCAAACGTATACAAGAATGCACAGAGATGGTGCTTTTCATGAATTTATATGAAAAGTTTGGAATTGCTGGTGTATTCAATAGCTAAGGAGATCAAGTAGTGTAGAACAATTATATGCCTTTCAGTAGCCTTCTCAAGAGACGGAGAAGGAAAATTTAATAAGTTTTTGGGAAGTACTGTGTGGAGGCTGAGGGGAGGCCTGATGGAGCTGCAGCTCCTCACAAGGAGCAGAGGGGCAGCACTAAGCTCTGCTCTATGGGTACCCGAGTGACAGGGCCCGAGGAACGGCGTGGAGCCATGTCAGGGGAGGGTCCAGTTGGGGGTTAGGAAGTTCTTCAACAGTGCGGTGGGCACTGGCACAAGAACATTTGGACTATATTTTCAGACACAGGGCTTGAATTTTGGGTGGTCTTGTGTGGAGCCAGCAGTTGATAATCCTTGTGTGTCCCTTCTGACTCAGAATATTCTGTTTCCTTGATGATAAGGAGGGAGACACACCACTTCTGACATGCCTCATGTTATCGTAGCCACCATCTGTTGACATGAATTTTTATATTTTAGGACACAAAACAAGCTTGTAGTATTTATGACAGGAGTGTGTCAGCAATTACACAGTCCAGATTTACCAGTTTCAGAACTTTCCATTCTACCAGTGTACAAAAATGGTGTAGCTGACCTAAAAGTCTTGTTTCTGAATCGGGAGGAAGCACTTGATGGGGAATTGCTCATGCAGGGTCTTGCTCCTGGCAGTGCTCTGGCAAACTGCTTCATCTTTCTGTGCTTTCATTTCCAATCTGTGCAGCAACAGTGCCGACGCAGAGGGCTGGATGCTACTCTCGCTACGTAGCTGCAGCAGGGAGCCATAGGATGCTGCAGAGATAACGATATCTATGTAAACGAGCTCATCATCTACAACATTTCCTGCCAAGAAGGCAGAGAACCGACCGATGAGACTTTAGCAGCACAAAGGTGAGATGTGCCGAGACGTCTCACTGACCGTTCGCCGACACACGTGTCGTACCATCGCCGTGCGTCAGACACGTTGATGAAACCAGAGCTCTGACAGCGCGGAGCGCTGCCCTCACGCCGATATTCGGGCAGGCCTCGCCCCCGCACGCAGCGGGCGCGCACGGCGGCAACTCGGCGTGCTGCCGCCCAGCAGCGGGAGGAGCGCGGAGGCCGGAGGGGCGGGCGCGGCCTACATTGCCCGACGTGCCGCGCCGAGGGCGGCACCACCGGAAGCGCGGAGCGGGCGACTTCCGGTTGTGCGCGAGCCCCGAGCGGAGGCGAGCCCGCGATCCTGCACCCCGACGAGACAAGATGGCCGGGCTGCCCCGCAGGATCATCAAGGTACCGACGCGCCGCGGCCCGCGGGGACGGGGGTGCGCCGGCCCGCTCCCGGTTCTCACGGCGGGCAGGGCCGGGCCGGCGCCGCTTCCGGTGCGCGGGACGCGGGGCCGCGCGGGGCAGGGCCGCTCCCGGGCCTCCCTCATCCCTCGGCTGGCGCGGAGCCGCCGCCGTGCACGGCCGCCGGGGGTTGAATGAGAGTGGGGCGCTGGGCCGGGCCCGGCCTTTCCCGCCGCTCCCTCCTTGGGCGGGCGGCCCGTGCGGGCGAAGGGGAAGCGACCGGGGCCTCCCGGTGGGCCGTGGGCGGCCGACGAGAGCGAGGCCGCTCCCGTCGCGGTCCCCGCCCGGGCGGCGTCCCGCGGCCATTCCCGCTTCGGGGCTCGGGCCGCGCCGAGCGCAGCCCCCTTCCACCGTACTGCCGGCTCCTCGCAGGAGCGGCCCGCGGAGCCCGCTGGAAAGACACGCGGTGTCCTGCCTGTGCGGGCTGCGCCAGTCCGAGACTGCTACGTGCGCCCCGAGCTGCCGGCTCGCGTAGCCTTGGTGTGCCGATGCTGGCTGCTCGGCGATGCGCTTCGAGTTCTGTCTGCCAAGCTCTGCTTTTGGCTTCGAGTGCTTCCAGCTACACCTCGGAGGGAATTGAAGCCAGGCTCGAACGCGTGGAGTCACTCGGCACAGGCGCAGGGAGCTGCGTTGCAATGCAGTTCGTCTTGCTGATGGTTTGGTCCTGTAGCCGGTGTGGATGCTTCCTGGGCTGGCATCCTCTCTTCTGCTCAGTTTGCAGTGATGTGGCTTGCAATCTCACAATCTCAAATCCATGGTCACTGACTGCTTTTGTGAAAGTTACTAAACGATTTTGGTAAGCTTCATTGCTAAGTTATGTGGTAGCACTTGTTTCGTTTCCACCTGAGTGCGTGTCACTATTTCTGATAACGCTGCAAAGCTCCTCTTGGTTGAGCATGCAAAGTTGGCAACCATTGTAAAACACAAAACCACATAATGTTAAATAGTTGATGCAAAAAATAAATCTGGATTTTTTTTTTTTTTGTAAGTCAGTACGTATCTATAACAGATGATAGAGGAGATGGGGTGAAAATTCAGGATTAGCGTTTTTTTTTGTGTATGAAAACAGCTGAACTATGATTGATGCTCTGAAATACAGGCAGTCAAAATAACGTGTAAATCTTACAGAAGTGAGTTTGCTCACCCTGTTGCCTTGGTGCAAAACATACAGTAGTGAATATATTTCAGGTCTGAGGAAATCTCATGATGTAGCAGAACTGGTATTTGTTGCAGAGATGTGGTGAGAGCTCAGTTGTGAAACTGATGTCCGTGTTAGATTTTGCTGTAGATTTTCTCAGTTCTCCTGAGGGCAGCCAAGAAGTGCACCCACTTATAAGCTAGTACATAAATTTCCTTCTTAGCACCCTTGTTCTTCTTTCTTAGCTTCTTTTAGGGAAAACATATAGCAGTGCACACAGCTTATTTCCAAGGTAGGGGATGGTATGAGAATGTTTTTTCTTGTCTCTGGGGATAGATAGATGGATACCCCAGCTAGAGTCCTAGAAGCTCTAGATTTTCTCCAGAGGAGTTTTGCTTGGAATATTTCAGAGTGCTGTATGTTACAGGGTGGTTTATATTGTGGGTTTTCTACTTTCAGGTATGCACTGTGGGCTGTCTACAGACAGTTTGGAGCATTTAAGTCTTGAACTGGTTGCACTGAATGACCGTTTCTGTAGCTCCTGTGCTGTGCATGCATCAGGTCATCAGCAGTATGTATGGTCTAAGACTTGAATTTGACTAGTATTACAATCTTTAATGTGGAAGGTAATACTTGAAAGTATCCCAGCTGCAGAGTTGCAGATGTAGGAGTGAGTGCTTCAGTCTTCAGGAGCCTTGAATGAGGGTTGTTTTGAGCTTGCTATTCAACTGATATTAATGTTGGAGTTAAGTATCCTACTGCTACTTGCCTTAGTTGGAGGGGAGAAAGTGAACTCTCTTGCTAGTGAGAATTTGAAAGATGAGGAAATAGAAGAGAGAAAGATACATCGGATGACAGAAAAGAGCTGTAGAAGGATGAAATAATTCTAGTAACAAGGCTCAAATTTGATAAAAAAGTGTTTTAGGCTGCTGCCTGGAGAAGACCTTTTCCCTTTGATCCGCGTGTGGCCTTCGTGTGGTCATCTGAGGGAAGCACAGCAGTAGTTGTTCGGGTATAGCAGCATACGGCGTATGCACCGTAATGAAATACAGAGTCTAGCTAAGGGCTCAAAATGCAGTTGGCGTTCCTCATCTTGATGGACTGCTGGCAGATGGCCTGGCTCTCAGGTTGACTAGCGGTCTGTGCTCTCCAGCTTGCTTCTTAGCTCTGTGCAAACTGTCATCCAGCCCAGCAGGAGAGCTCTGACTTTCCTTGTCTCAGCAGAGAGCTCTATTTATATTTTCAGTGCTTCTCCACACTCATTTAAAAGGTGTCAGTATAGATGTTGCAAAGCATTTTTTACAGGAGATAAAGGATTACTCCTGGCTCACCGTCCTCAGATTACTTCGAAGGACAGGCTTTAAGCAAGTGGGGTGAATGATCTGTAAGCTCAGGAGATGACTCGCTTTAGAAGTATGGCTTATGGTGTTAGCACATCACAGATGTTGAGTAGGAAATGTTATGGCTGTGAATCCTTAAATCAAATGTGTAATTGGAATTGGAGATATTTTTATCTCTGAATAGGGAGGAGCTGTTTTCATTCAGTAGCCTAACACCAGTGGTCCTCTGAGAGGCACTTTGTCAAGAAAATCTCTTAATGTAAGAAAATAAGAAGGCAGTATGGTACACTTGCATAGATTTGTGGTTTTGATACTGTGAACTCTTTTGCTACTGCACATATTTAAAAAGAGAATCTTCACAATGTACACAGTAAACCCAGATACTTTTATTTTCAAACGTTTGTTAAACCAATTATTTCCTGTGTTGCAAAGTCACGTAGCTCCAGGAGAGTAGGGAGTTGAATTGTATCTTTTTTTTTTTTTCTTTCCTTTGGCTGACATTCAAAACCACCTCATTGCTGTGTCAAATGCAGTGAATGTATCTGAATCGGGTAGGCAATGTTGCCTTGTGTTATCCTTTAGAGTTTGGGTTTTTTTTTTCCAGTTTTCATTGCTGCAGTGATCTCATCATTCATGGTTTGGTGTCCAGGTCTGTGTGTCAACTGTGTGACTCGTTGTTAATGGCACTTTTGTTATAATTGCTGCAGCTGCTCATCTCGTGAAACAAAACATCTGAAGCAGTGTATGAGATTCTTCAAACTTTTTGTGAATGAATTTATCAGTGTGAAGATATTAAGGCTCTGATTTTTGTAGTCGTTTGTACGGTCTTTTCTTTTAAAGGCTTTTTCTAGTATTTTTGGCTTTCTTTGAATGATGGTGAGGTGTAGAAGCTTTTGGTTTTGGTCAGTGCAGTTCCTTGGCATTGGTCAAAGGAACTGCATGTTTGCACTTTGTAATGTGTTGTTGTCCCATGTGTGCTGTTTGAATCTTGTGGATAGCTTCAGTAAGAAGCCTGTAAAATTAGACCAAGGAGCCAGTCTTGGAAGAAAGGCATGGAGTCTTAATGAAAGATCTCAGAGGACACTGATGGCTTTCCATGACCTCTTGCAGTAGACACCAGAATATAGAATTGGAAAAAGAAGAGCAAAGTAGTCCAGTAAGAGGCAAACATTTTGTTTGGAGTACCTTATGTAAGTGCACCACTGAAATCTGAACTTTCTTAATATCAATATATGACTTTGCACACAGTTGTTTTATATGCACTTGGCTGGTAGTGAAAGCCAGGAGAAACATCACCAATGTATTTTTGTTGTTATATGTGACTGGGGGGTTAGTAATGACAGTGAGTGGCAAATCTTGCTGCAAATGGCATTTGGACAAGAGCTCTACATTAATTATTTGCTTTAATCACACTTTGATAGTTGACTCTACAGTAGGTATTAACACAAGGCTCTAATGCAAACATGCTCCCTAATGTAACTGCAGGAATGGTTTATGCTGTTAGCTTACTGAATTTAGTCACACCTCACTTTTTATGGTGCATCTCCAGCTCTAATAAAGCTTGATCTGTGCTAGAACATAGATTATCCTCTAGGAATTTGCATAACATCTCAGCTTCACTATTTCAAAATCCTGTAATCTGCTATGGAAATTCTGAGAATGTGGTCATTCGCAGGGGAGAGCGATGCTGCCTTAAAAATGCCCTCTTCACATTGCTGCTGTTTGGTAACAAAGTCATCCCCCAAGTCTGTTTTCCTCTGTAAAAGCACTGTTACCTGGAGTGCGCTCGTCTTCATCTTGCTGTCAGTACTCTGCTGTTGTTGCAATTTGTGGTGTGGTGATGGGAGCTGGAGAGCTTGGAGTGCACAGGGGAGAACTGTGATGGATGCGGAATTCACCGTGCCCGTTCAGCAGAGCTCCAGATTGCTGGGTGTTTGTTCACAGATTGAAGTACTGTTGAATAGTTTCTACATCACCTGTACTGCTGATACGCTCTACAGGAGGTGCATTCGGCATGCTGATATGCTGAATGTTGTTCTGCTTTGGTTCTTTGGATTGGTGCAGTCAGGGTGATGAGGTATAGAAAGCTGCAGGCAGGAGGACTGCTGGAAGCCATTAATTAGCCCAGTAAGGATCCCAGGAAACAGGGGCATGCAGAATGCTCACACTCAGGGATTATATGGCAAGGAATCGAGGAATTGATGAGGCTGGCTACTGGAAACCACAAGTACAGCCTTCTGCTTATGATGTTTGACCTCTGCGTTAAAATTTAATGGACTTTATCGGTAATTCTTTTTTTCCCTCAAAGAAGATAGTATTTTGTGAAGACTTTCTCCAGTGTAGTCATTTTACAGTGATAAAGTTTTAATCCAAGCATTTTGAGATCTCACTGGCAACACAACGTTTGCTTGAGTAATGTTTATTTTCAGTAATGCTGATTCTAGTCAGATATTTTCTTTGTTGCA